AATCAGCCGACTTCTTCTGATGAGATTGACGTACGAGTCTCTTCGTCATGTACTTCCATACGAAAGGAAAGTTTTTACATCAAAGTTCTCAATTTCTCTTGACCCGCTCGACTGGCCTTCTTGAGAGTTGGCAGCTCATGTGGCAATCTACAGATTGTAGGGCGTTAAGTTGACTCTGTTTCACGAGGAAAGGGCAGTATCATGGTCTGTTGTCGGACAGTAAGTGCAAAAGAGGTCGCATGAGACAGACAAGTAGCAACATGTGAAAGAATAGCAGCAGTAGTAGTCGAAACCGAGGTTACGGGACACTTGAAAAGTGTACCAAAATGTCCACGATTTTCTCGTTCGCTTGAACTAAAAGCCTTGCCTTGAATCGCGCCTTTTCGCCCCCTCGAAAAGATGACCGAATTGTCCGTCCAATCATTTCTCTCCTTTCCCACCGTTCAGCATCTTCCCAACATGACCCTTTCTGCGGGCCGATCCTCCCGACGACAGGACGCGCCGAACCATCGCCATTTGCCCAATGGACATGGCGTGTCCGCGTCCGATCCGGCAACGGGGCTTGTTCACCAGCGCCGATCGTCGTCCGGCGGCCGGGGACCCTCAGCGCCTGGCTCCGGCCGAGTTGAAGCACCAATCGGCCCATCGCGTCGTCAGGGTCCATCGGCCGAGTTTCCCGTGGCAACAGAGGCTGTTGCCAGCCGGCGCCATGCTCCGGCGGGCAAGACGATGGGCCAGTCCACGAATCGACGGGCAAAGTCGACTTTGGAGCTGAACGAAGAGGTGAGCAAAGCGAAAAATGCCCGTTTTATAGAAGTTGTTTCACCTTGTTTTCGCAACTTGGTCATGTTGGTAGGAAGACTTAGAGGAACACACCTTGTCCGGAGTCCATTGTATCCATCATCATTTCCAGATTAGGAGCACGGGAATGTACCACGTTCGCGTTTCAACTTTGGAAATGATCATGAATACAATGCACTCCGGACAAGCTGCGTTTCTATAAGTCGTGCTACCAACATGACCAAGTTGCGAAAAAAGGTCAAACAACTTGTATACAACGAAAGGAGACTGCGACCACACAAAAGGCTACACCGTCTTGGTCTTCATACCTTCGAATGGCCGTTTTTAGTTCGCGAAACTCGATGAAGGTGGCAAAGGGCTACCAATGGCCAATTCTCCCAAATCAAGATGCAACGGAATTTCACTTGGTCCTTCTGGACTGGACTGTAGTTTAGACATCCCCGTGAGTGCTCCCATCAGCCCCCTCCCCCGATGGGAATGCAACTTTTACAATTTTCCCATCTTGTCACTAGGCCAGACTGCCACTGCTGCTACTGCTGCCACTGTCGAAAGGCAGATGTGACCTTCAAGGCTAGCCAGGCCCATATCATATCATACTTTATAACGGACTATTTGTCATTACGATCGATTGTACTACTTATATTCAGAGTGAGTAGGGCAATAATACCAGTAGATCTTAAATAAAAATGTTATTCGGCCTAACGTAAGAGTTGTATTCACCCTAAGATTATGTGGCTTCTGTTTGGTCGCAGTCTCCCTTAGCTTTCTAGTGTTGGTTCTACTTCGCTTTGGCAACTTGGTCGGAGCGTCAGGGAGACCGTATGGAACGTACCTGATCTTGTGTCCCATGCCATAGTATTCGGGATTGCCAGCATCAGCCCATTGACCTGGTACATTCCTAAAACGTTTCGTGGGAATCGTCAGTGAGAGGCGCCACCGTTAGGGCAGAGTTACAACTTGTCAAAAGTGACAACTAAGGGTAATACTTTAGAGCAGTTTTCTGTTTACATGTCACTCTGCCTCCTCTTCGTTCTCCTCCTCCTCCTTTTCCTCCTCTACCTCCTCTTCCTCCTCTTCCTCCTCTTCCTCCTCCTCTTCCTCCTCT